ATTTCGTTTATCGGGCATGCTGGAAAATGCGTGAAAAACGACCGATTTTCGAAATCATTGGTGGCACCATCGGATTATAGAAGGAACGCTGTTTTCGATTTTCGATCGAAAAATCGTATGGAATTCAACCCATGTATGGCCTGCTTTAGCCTGGCCATACATTATACAATTTTCTTGAGAATTTTGCTTTAGATTTACCAAAAACTATATAGTATGAGGTCACACCTGAACAACATTTTAAATTGTATCCGATCAGGCAGGCCCTTGCACTACATAGTTAAAAGTAAATCTAAAGGAAATTGGACAGAAAATTGTATAGTGTATGGTCAGCCTTAACCACTTCCCATCTGGCCGTTTATATACATGGTGGCAGTGCAGGGGCGGGTGGCTGTTTATAAACGTCCTCCCCACTACCTGCTTGTGCACGCTCCCTGGGAGCATGTAGCACCGCGATCCAATGCCCGTTGTGTCCTCTGGACACAGCGAAACACGGATCGTTGTACAGGACCTCTGTGTGAATCAGTGATCACATGAATAGTAGTGATCAAGATGTCACTTTTGACATCATTACCTACTACTAGTGAAATCTGTGAATGATCACAGAGGTCACATGGTACAGGGCTATTCACAACAGGCTTGTACCATGTGACAAGCTGTGACTAATCACAGCTCTCACAGTATTTCTTAATGGCTGCAAGAATGCAGCCAGAGAAGGAGAAATGATTGTTTTTACAGCCTTTATGGATGTAAAAGCAATCAGTGTATTAAAAAAAAAAAATTTTCATCACCCCCCACAAGTATACAGTGTCACTATGACACGGTACTGCTAGGGTGACAGCATGTTAAAAAACATAAATAATTATATGAAAAAAATTTAGAAAAATTATAATTTTTGGTTATAAACTAATTTGGGTTATTTTTTTTTTTACTAAAAAGATAATCAAATAAATTTTGGCCAGATTATTTATTTGCAAAATTTTATAAGAAAAACACATTTTCTTCAAAAATTTGGGACTTTTTCATTTATATAGCAAAAAAAATAAAAATCCCAGTGGTGAATAAATACCATCAAAATAAAGTTTTATCTGTCTCAAAAAAATTCAAAGTGTGACAGCGATGAAAGCTGAAAATTGGTCCGGACTTGAAGTGGTTAAACAATACATACACTACATACATTATATAACACACATACATACAATTACATACATGCATACGTAGAATACTCAGTCCCAGCTCTGGCTGCACTCTGGCAGTGAAAGAGTTGTCAGATGTTGCTCAGGATGTAGGAGGAGACCGTGGTCTTTCCTCAGCCAATCAGAGGCCGGGCTGTCTGTGAGTGGCATGCAGTGGGCGTGGTCATTGCGTGGCAGAGTCCCCGGGAGCTCTGGGGAGAGTGGGATTCCGGCGGTGAGTGTTGTCAGAGATGAGTGTGCAGCTCCTGCTCCTGGGGGTCCTCTCCATCCTGTCCTGGGGGGCTCTTGGCTCCAGCCCAGAGGGTGAGTGATTGGGGGGGGTCTCTTCTTCAGCACTGGGCAGTTTTGTGGGCTCAGCCTTGTAAGCCCCCCTGTGCACCCTGGATGATCCCTGTGTGTATGATCCCTGTGTATGATCCCTGCGTGTATGTTCCCTGCGTGTATGATCCCTGCGTGTATGTTCCCTGCGTGTATGTTCCCTGCGTGTATGTTCCCTGCGTATATGATCCCTGCGTATATGATCTCTGCGTGTATGATCCCTGCGTGTATGATCCCTGCGTGTATGATCCCTGCGTGTATGATCCCTGCGTGTATGATCCCTGCGTGTATGATCCCTGCGTGTATGATCCCTGCGTATATGATCCCTGCGTGCGTATGTTCCCTGCGTATATGATCCCTGCGTATATGATCCCTGCGTATATGATCTCTGCGTATCCCTGCGTATATGATCCCTGCGTGTATGATCCCTGCGTATATGATCCCTGCGTATATGATCCCTGCGTGTATGATCCCTGCGTGTATGATCCCTGCGTATATGATCCCTGCGTATATGATCCCTGCGTATATGATCCCTGCGTATATGATCCCTGCGTATATGATCTCTGCGTATCCCTGCGTATATGATCCCTGCGTATATGATCCCTGCGTATATGATCCCTGCGTATATGATCCCTGCGTATATGATCCCTGCGTATCCCTGCGTATATGATCTCTGCGTATCCCTGCGTATATGATCTCTGCGTATCCCTGCGTGTATGATCCCTGCGTGTATGATCCCTGCGTATATGATCCCTGCGTATATGATCTCTGCGTATCCCTGCGTATATGATCCCTGCGTATATGATCCCTGCGTTCTCATCCCTGCGTATATGATCCCTGCGTATATGATCCCTGCGTATATGATCCCTGCGTATATGATCCCTGCGTATATGATCTCTGCGTATCCCTGCGTATATGATCCTGCGTATATGATCCCTGCGTATATGATCTCTGCGTATCCCTGCGTATATGAGCCCTGCGTATCTCCCTGCGTATATGATCCCTGCGTATATGAGCCCTGCGTATATGATCCCTGCGTATATGAGCCCTGCGTATATGATCTCTTCCTTCCTATAGGTGATCGGAGGCATTTCTGCTCAGTGGTCTGCCAGCTCTGATGGGCTCTTGTCTGGGTAGATTGGTGCCCATTCATTTGGAGTCATTCTGAGTCCTCTGTGCGCCCATTGGTTGTACCTGGCGAGCGGTTTATCCGATGCCTTCTGGCAGATTTTATGGTGGCCATGCACAAATCGATCTGTGATTGATCGAGCGATTGTAAGCAAGCGATTCATCCTAATATAAGGCATCAAACGATGCGACATGTATGGCATTGTCTGCAGATCTGCTTCGCTTTTATTATCTGATTGATGTGCGTTCCATGGATAGCCATCACTTTGCTTCCCATCAACTTGCAGTCAATTCAGATTGGATGAGATCAGTGGTCTCCAAACTGTGGCCTGCGGGCCGGATGTGGCCCTGTGCTTGCCTTTATCTGGCTCTTGGAGTACTACTGTTACTCTTACTGATACTATTTCTCCCTCTAACAACAATGATGGGACACAAGTCTTCCACTGACACCAATGATGGAGACTTATTCCTTCCAGTGACACAAACCATGGGGCATAATTCATGCCACTGATTTTAAAACAAGCGCACACACACACACTCTCTCTCAACTGGATAGACTGGTGTCATTTTGTAACCTTACCAACTTTAGGGGTAATAAACAATTCGGTACTGTTCCTCTCACTGACACCAATGCTCGGGCACTATTCCTCCCACTGACACCAACAATGGGACACTATTCCTCCCACTGACACCAATGCTCGGGCACTCTTCCTCTCACTGACACCAATGCTCGGGCACTCTTCCTCTCACTGACACCAATGCTCGGGCACTCTTCCTCTCACTGACACCAATGCTCGGGCACTCTTCCTCTCACTGACACCAATGCTCGGGCACTCTTCCTCTCACTGACACCAATGCTCGGGCACTATTCCTCTCACTGACACCAATGCTCGGGCACTATTCCTCTCACTGACACCAATGCTCGGGCACTATTCCTCTCACTGACACCAATGATGGGCACTATTCCTCTCACTGACACCAATGATGGCGTACTATTCCTCTCACTGACACCAATGATGGGGCACCATTCCTCCCACTGACACCAATTGGGTACCTTCCCCCACTGACACCACCATTCCTCCCACTGACACAATTCCTCCCACTGACACCATTCCTCCCACTGACACCATTGATGGGGACCATCCCACTGACACCATTCCTCCCACTGACACCAATGATGGGACACCATTCCTCCCACTGACACCAATGATGGGGCACCATTCCTCCCACTGACACCAATGATGGGGCACCATTCCCCCCATTGACACCAATGCAGGGGCACCATTTCCCCACTGACACCAATGCTGGGGCACCATTCCCCCCATTGACACCAATGCTGGGGCACCATTCCCCCCATTGACACCAATGCTGGGGCACCATTCCCCCCACTGACACCAATGCTGGGGCACCATTCCCCCCACTGACACCAATGCTGGGGCACCATTCCCCCCACTGACACCAATGATGGGGCACCATTCCCCCCACTGACACCAATGCTGGGGCACCATTCCCCCCACTGACACCAATGCTGGGGCACCATTCCCCCCACTGACACCAATGCTGGGGCACCATTCCCCCCACTGACACCAATGCTGGGGCACCATTCCCCCCACTGACACCAATGCTGGGGCACCATTCCCCCCACTGACACCAATGCTGGGGCACCATTCCCCCCACTGACACCAATGCTGGGGCACCATTCCCCCCACTGACACCAATGCTGGGGCACCATTCCCCCCACTGACACCAATGCTGGGGCACCATTCCCCCCACTGACACCAATGCTGGGGCACCATTCCCCCCACTGACACCAATGCTGGGGCACCATTCCCCCCACTGACACCAATGCTGGGGCACCATTCCCCCCACTGACACCAATGCTGGGGCACCATTCCCCCCACTGACACCAATGCTGGGGCACCATTCCCCCCACTGACACCAATGCTGGGGCACCATTCCCCCCACTGACACCAATGCTGGGGCACCATTCCCCCCACTGACACCAATGCTGGGGCACCATTCCCCCCACTGACACCAATGCTGGGGCACCATTCCCCCCACTGACACCAATGCTGGGGCACCCATTCCCCCCCACTGACACCAATGCTGGGGGGCACCATTCCCCCCACTGACACCAATGCTGGGGCACCATTCCCCCCACTGACACCAATGCTGCTGGGGCACCATTCCCATTCCCCCCTGACACCAATGCTGGGGCACCATTCCCCCACTGACACCAATGCTGGGGCACCATTCCCGCCACTGACACCAATGCTGGGGCACCATTCCCGCCACTGACACCAATGCTGGGGCACCATTCCCGCCACTGACACCAATGCTGGGGCACCATTCCCCCACTGCCACTGACACCAATGATGGGGCACCATTCCTCCCACTGACACCAATGATGGGGCACCATTCCTCCCACTGACACCAATGATGGGGCACCATTCCTCCCACTGACACCAATGATGGGGCACCATTCCCCCCACTGACACCAATGATGGGGCACCATTCCTCCCACTGACACCAATGATGGGGCATTCCTCCCACTGACACCAATGATGGGGCACCATTCCTCCCACTGATACCAATGATGGGGCACCATTCCTCCCACTGACACCAATGATGGGGCACTATTCCTCCCATTGATACCAATGATGGGGCACTATTCCTCCCATTGATACCAATGATGGGGCACTATTCCTCCCACTGACACCAATGCTGATGGGCATTATTCCTCCCACCGACACCAATGATAGGGACACTATTCCTCCCACCGACACCAATGATAGGGACACTATTCCTCCCACCGACACCAATGATAGGGACACTATTCCTCCCACCGACACCAATGATAGGGACACTATTCCTCCCACCGACACCAATGATAGGGACACTATTCCTCCCACCGACACCAATGATAGGGACACTATTCCTCCCCCGACACCAATGATAGGGACACTATTCCTCCCACCGACACCAATGATAGGGACACTATTCCTCCCACCGACACCAATGATGGGGCACTATTTCTCCTCCTACTGACCATAGGCGCTATATAATTGTTTTAATCCTATTGACCACCATGCCTGAGACATTTTCTACTTCCACTGATGTCGGGCATTTTCCACTCCTGCTGGTCACAGTCCGGCCTCCCTAAAGTCTGAAGAACAGTAAACTGGCCTTTTGTATAGAAAGTTTGGAGACCCCAGGATTAGATCAAGTGTCGATCGATCAGGTCATGAAATGTGATTGATCAGATAGCATTGATCGTCCGCATACTTGGATCATATGTTGTAAAGCGTAAACTGTTGGCGCCACATAAATCCTGTATAATAATACGAACTATAAGGTTGCATGGTGGAAAAGGAGATGAGAACTTTCAATGGTATCTTCAAACTATCGATCGAAATCCACTTCCCCATGTGTGTCTTATCGATCTCATGGCTTGTCTGCTACAGATTGATTATTCCTATCAGGAGAGATGGAAACAAAATGGAACATTTATTGAAGTGTGTATGGCCAGCGTAAGAGATACAATCTATTAGAGATGACCAATTAGGCTTGATTCATACTGCCGCAACTTGGGATCCGACTTGTGAAATCCCATGTGAAGTCGCATGATGTGTGAAATACCCTGTGTAGTCGCATGACATGTGAAGTCGCATGACGTGTGAAATCCCCTGTGTAGTCGCATGATGTGTGAAATCCCCTGTGTAGTCGCATAATGTGTGAAATCCCCTGTGTAGTCGCATGATGTGTGAAATCCCCTGTGTAGTCGCATGATGTGTGAAATCCCCTGTGTAGTCGCATGATGTGTGAAATCCCCTGTGTAGTCGCATGATGTGTGAAATCCCCTGTGTAGTCGCATGATGTGTGAAATCCCCTGTGTAGTCGCATGATGTGTGAAATCCCCTGTGTAGTCGCATAATGTGTGAAATCCCCTGTGTAGTCGCATGATGTGCGAAATCCCCTGTGTAGTCGCATAATGTGTGAAATCCCCTGTGTAGTCGCATGATGTGTGAAATCCCCTGTGTAGTCGCATAATGTGTGAAATCCCCTGTGTAGTCGCATAATGTGTGAAATCCCCTGTGTAGTCGCATGATGTGTGAAATCCCATGTGTAGTCGCATGATGTGTGAAATCCCCTGTGTAGTCGCATGATGTGTGAAATCCCCTGTGTAGTCGCATGATGTGTGAAATCCCCTGTGTAGTCGCATGATGTGTGAAATCCCCTGTGTAGTCGCATGATGTGTGAAATCCCCTGTGTAGTCGCATGATGTGTGAAATCCCCTGTGTAGTCGCATGATGTGTGAAATCCCCTGTGTAGTCGCATGATGTGTGAAATCCCTGTGTAGTCGCATGATGTGTGAAATCCCCTGTGTAGTCCCATGATGTGTGAAATCCCCTGTGTAGTCGCATGATGTGTGAAATCCCCTGTGTAGTCGCATAATGTGTGAAATCCCCTGTGTAGTCGCATAATGTGTGAAATCCCCTGTGCAGTCGCATGATGTGTGAAATCCCCTGTGCAGTCGCATGATGTGTGAAATCCCCTGTGTAGTCGCATGATGTTTGAAATCCCCTGTGCAGTCGCATGACGTGTGAAATCCCATGTGAAGTCGCATGACGTGTGAAATCCCATGTGAAGTCGCATGACGTGTGAAATCCCATGTGAAGTCGCATGACGTGTGAAATCCCATGTGAAGTCGCATGACGTGTGAAATCCCATGTGAAGTCGCATGACGTGTGAAATCCCATGTGAAGTCGCATGACGTGTGAAATCCCATGTGAAGTCGCATGACTTGTGAAATCCCATGTTAGTCAATGAAAACTGTCTTAATCAGCACAACTGAAGGTCGCTCCCACTTCAGAAAAGGTTCCTGTATTAATTCAAGGCGACTTCTATCCGGCTTGTGCCCATAGACTTTAATAGAAGTCGCCTCCAAGTCGGATCCTCATCTATATGGGTGTGATTTGGATCTGACATTACAGGAAGATTACCCAGCCATTCCCTGAAAGTTGCTTCAAAGTAGTGCCCAAGTTGCCTGGCAAAGCCGCATTGGAAGGCTACTTTCTCACTGAGGAGTTTTTCAAGCGTTTTTTTGCTTTTAAAAAAGCATCTAAAAAGCTCAAGAAAAACGCCTCCCTGTGTATGTGAATGTATATCTATGTGTGTTTTCACACTGAAGCTTTGCACTTGCGGTGCGGTGTGTAAAAACTCCTGCTTGCAGCATCTTTGGGGTTAAAAAAAAGGCCCCCAAAAACGCCTCTGGGAAGCGTTTCTGGTGCAGTTTTAACCAATTCAATACCGGGCAATTTTCCCCCTTCCTGCCCAGGCCATTTTTCAGGCTTCAGCGCTCTCACACTGTGAATGACAATTGCGCGATCATACAACACTGTACCCAAACTAAAATTTTATCATTTTCTTCACACAACTAGAGCTTTCTTTTGGTGGTATTTAATCATCGCCAGGGTTTTTATTTTTTGCTAAATTAACAAAAAAAGACCAAAAATGTTGAAAAAAAAACACGTTTTTCTTTGTTTCTGTTATAAAAGTTTATAAATAAATAATTGTTCTTCATAAATTTAGGCCGAGATGTATTCTGCTACATGTCTTTGGTGAAAATAACCCAAATTAGGATGTATTATTTTAGTTTGTAGGAAAGTTATAGAGTTCACAAACTATGGTATAGATCTGAATATTGATCAATCCTGAAGTACTGACAGCCAATCTAATCTCTTGAGGTCCAAGAATGTCAGGTCAGTACAGATATCCCCCAAATGACCCCTTTTTGCAAAGTAGACCGTCCTATGTACTTCATAAGAGGAATGGCGAGTTTTTTGAAGTTGTGTTTTTTTTTGTCATAATTTTTTGGAAAATGAAAAAATGAAAAAAATTATTTTCACTATTTTTTCTTTTTACATACTGTCACCAGTGCAGTACAGCGTCATCATATAACTGGCATGGCGGTGAACAGGGACACTGACTGGTGACAGTATGGGAAAAAAAAAAAAAAAAAAAAATTATATATATATATATATATATATATATATATATTATTTTTTTTTTTTAAATTTTTTATTACATTTTTTTTTTTTTTTTTTTTTTTTATATTTTACTATGACCAAAGTAGTACAATGTTACCATAGTAACATTGTACTACTTTGGGGAAGTGATCAGTATTTTTTTTTTTTTTTTTTTTTTACACAATTTTTTTGTGCTTAGCTGTGATTTGGCCACAGCTAATCACATGACATGTGCATGTGACCTGCTGTGACCATTCACAGCTAGGCACTAGTATACAATGGATGGCATGAATGAAGCCATCCATTGTATACAACTGTCATGTGACCTGCTGTGATTGGTCACAGCAGGTCACATGGTACCGGCAACGGGGGCTGGTACTCAGATCTGTCATCGGCCATGTCCGTGGTACACGGCCGGTGACAGATCGCGCCGCTGCGTGGCTCTGCAACCGCGCGAACTGCGCATGTGCGGGAGGACGCCAAATGGTGTACACCCCGGAAAGCTAAAGCATTTTTGCGGCCGCCAAACGGCTATAGGCCGGGCGGCAAATGGTTAAGTCACGTGTCCTATAAAAACGCTCGGTGCGACAAAAGTGTGGTAAAAATGCCTATGCTTTTTTGCAGCAGATCAGTGTGAAAGTGGCCTTAGTCGTGTGACTTTCAGGTTGTAGTAGCGTGAACTGAGACTAATGCAGGCCATAGATGGGTCGAAAATCGTCCATTTTTAAAAAAAAAACAAAAAAACAGAAATCGGTCGTTCAATCGGCCGACGTTACCACCAACGGTAAAAAAATCGGCCGATTTTCATCCCGTCTATGGCCGGCGTTTTTCCTTCTGTTCCTTGCAGAGAGCTCCACTATTATATTTTACATGAAAAATCTTGCGGTTGCAACAATGTATCCCATTTGTATCCATTTCGGATACAGATGGCTTTATTCGGATACAAATAGATAAATTGCTGCAACCGCAAGACTTTTCATATAAAATATAATAGCGGACTGGAATTCTTCTTCTTTTTCTTCTTGTTGCAGGTCACGGCTCATGCGCAGATTTTTTATCGGTAAACGATCAGCCGATTTGCCCATCATTGCCGGGAAAATCAGCTGATCGTCAAAATCGGCCGCAAATTTTCCAACTTTACCGATTAAAAAAAATGTGCCAAATCCCCGAAAAACGGCCAACCAATTAACCCATTAACGGTGCGAAAATCGGCCGTTTTTTTTTTTCGGCCGAAAAATCGGCCGATTTTCAACCCGCCTATGGCCTGCATTAGTCTAGGTTCACACCTATGCAGGTTGCAATTCTGCATTGCGTTTTTGATGTGTTTTTCGTTTTTTTTTCCATTTTTCAAAATGTTTCTTGTTGCTAGGCAGATTTTAAACACAAAACACGGCAAAAACGCAATACATGCTTTTCTCAGCATTCCCATTGCAGTCTTTAGAACCAAAAATGCAATGTTTTGCTTTCAAGAAAAGTCCCTGACCCTTTCCAAAAACGCAGCAGGTGAAAGCGCAGAGATGTGAACCTGTCCCATAGGAAATCATGTTAAATGGACTGTACTGCGTTCCTGCAAAACGCTGCAGAAAACGCTTAGGTGTGAACCCAGGGCCAGAGGTCTCCAGGTATGGACATTTGTTACAACGTTACATTGTTTCAGCTTGGACCAATGTAAGTGTGTTCAGTGTGTGTCATACCTGTGGGATCCCCATGGAAGCTGCTACTACACTGATTGCTGCTAGCTTCCAGGTCCTGTGCTGTGCTGCTGCCCCGTGAACACAGGAGGTCACTCGCTCGACACGGCTGCCATTCGGAGAACACTTTGCATTTTTTGCATTTGCACCCTGATTGGATGGGGTTGAGATAGTGATGTCACTTTCATGCCTCTCCTCATCCAATCAGAGAAATCTGTGCTGGGACACAAAGTGGGGGTAATGCCCTGTTGAAGTCATAGGCAGTCTTTCCTATTGTATCCAGCAATTTTTTCTAATGGAGTTCAGCTTTAAA